ACTCTCTCTCCCCACGCTGCCGCCGCTGCCCTTCGAGCTCGAGGATGTGGCGAGGCTTCCGTGGCACCACAGCTCGAAACCCGGCCGCCGGCAACGCCCGCGGAAGCTTGCGAGCCGGCTGGTCTCGTGCTGCTTTCTAAGCCGTTCCTCCCCTCCCCAACGTCCGAGCAGTCCGGGGAGGAACAGAAGGATTGGGGGGAATGGAGGGGTGTGTGTGTGTGTGTGTTGGAAAGGAAACAGGGCGCACGCGTCTCCGTCGTCGTCGTCGTCGCCGCCGCGCGCAGCGTGACGTGCACCCAACCACCCTTGCCCAAAAATAGCCCTCCCCGCGCCCTCGCTCCCCAGTCCCATCCATCTCCGCTTCCCCCCCTTCCCTTCCTTGCCCCATCTGTGTCCTGCCACCTAGTTACTCCTAACTCCGGGATGCGGGACCTCGCCGTCCCAACTAACGAACCTTCTTCCTACTCTGTTGATCAAAACCCCGCATCTAGACCTACCCGCCTGCCTGCCTGCTTGATTGCTTGCTTGCTTGCTTGCCTGCCTCACTTTCGCTTCCACTCTCCGCATTATTGCCAAGCCCCGCCGTGTCTCGTGCTGCTTGTTGCTGCGCGCATTCCTGTTCGTTTGATTAGCCGATCTGATGACGACGGTCAAGCACGAGCGGCGGGCAAGCACCTAGGCAAGCGGCCTGCTGCGTAGGGCTGGATGAGCCGCGTCGAGCTTATGCCCTTCGCGACGCGTCCTGCGTCCCCAGACGTGGGGACCGAGTCTAGTCAGCACTCTGAGCGGGCAGGCGATGGTCTGCCTCGCTGCTTTTGTTCGCTCTCCCTCGTAAACTTCTACTGCTTTTGAGCAGTGCTCGAGGCCGGCCAAGACATCCCCCCCCTCCCCCCGTCCCGCCAGCCCGCCAGCCCGCCCGCGCGATGTCACTCTATCAGGCACCACGGGCTACGAATGTAGCAGCAACCGGGAAAACCAAGCGAATACGAAAAGAATGTCGACGGCGCCCTCTCGCAGACGCGTGCCGCGCGCCCCCTCAGCGTACGTCCAATGCAATCTAGGTCCAAGGAAAAGCATCACGAGATCAGGTTCGCGACTCAAGGCAACCGTCGCAGCATTCCCCGCCTACGAGCAACTAGTTGCGCCCTCGCTACAAAGGTTGTGCGATGCGGCTCTTCGGCGTCGCCGATTTGTGACCAATGAGTCACGGTTGCGTGGCCACGGATAATGAAGAGCGCGCGCTTCGCCAAGCGCTTCGCATGGAGAGCGGCATGCACCTAATCTACTCGGGACCGCTTTCAAGGCGAACGAACACCCGTAGCTAGTCCCCATAGCAACAACGTGACCCCTTCGGCGGTGCCGTTATCTGGAACGTAGGCTAGCTGCAGCATGCGGGGCCACGACAGGCCCCATGCAGGTGTCGGTGTCGGTGTCCTCGGGGTCGGCGTCGGAGGGCATATCGCTAGCGGAGTATTGGGGTTTGGCGCTCGGCTGCCACCTACTTCGTAGCGTTCGCATCATCGGGGTTTGTGCGGAGCCCGCGTCCGAACAGATTGGGTTAATGTTGAGTTAACGTTAACGTGCACTGCACCGTTTACCAAGTTTGTTAGTGGGAGCCGGAAGGAATTCGAAAAGTGCGGTTATTCTAGAGCAAACTAGATGTTGGAGCGGAAATCGGTCCTTGGCACCCGTACATCCGACCTTGAGGTCGAGGGTCGCTGGTGTTTTAGCGCATCAATACGTTGCTCTCGAACCAAAAACAAAATATGATAGCGAAGATCTTGTCCGTATCAGAAGCCGCCTCAACTCGTGGAATGAGAGGCTCGGCTGTGCAAAAGCTTCCTGGAGAGGGAAGCGAGGGAGAATGCGCTATATCAACGCCGTTGTATCAAGCGGCCGGCTGACTACCGTCCAAAGCTCGAGGACTGTCAGGGCGCGCCATCCGCAGTAAGCCACAAAGCTTTGCTGTTCTATTTCCAGCAGCAACTGTCAAGGCACGCGTGGTTGGAGATGCATGCATCTAACATGGTTGACATTCCTCATGGCAGCCACCGCCTTACCGGAGGCATAAATCTGACTGGAGCCACGCGGCCGCCGCTGGAATCTTCCTCAAACGGTTAGTGCAGACGGTTCGTGGAGGCTTTGAGGAGACGCAGAGCTCATCAAGGCAGAACTTGCCCAAATTGCTTTTGGGAAGGATTTCTGTGACGTCTTTTCACAACGGTCCCTCTTACTTTTATGCTTCCGGGATCATCCTAAAACGCTGAATGGGCACCTGCCAGACCACTACCCTCGTGCTGTTGTTGATCCTTCAGCCATCCACACTGACAGTGCTGTCAAGGACGCGTGGATGCGCTAAATTTGGACATGAAACAAACCTCTCCGCGTGCTGTGAAACTACCAACATAGCGTGGGCCGTAGGCTCGCACAGCATGTAAGGCTGTAACTCACGATGGTTGTCCGGTGAGTCCTGGACAATGGAGCAAATCGGGGGCTGGCTTGAGTGACGCACAAATGAAAGCAACTGGAGTCGAGGAAATCCTCAAACAACACCAATCAACTCCCCTGCCAGAATGTTTTGTTGCTGAGATAGCTGATTTGTTACTGGGAGAGCTCGTGCTTGCGCCTTGCTTGCAGGGACTCGAGGCTTAGTGCTTATGCTCGCCGGCACTGCAAGCCCTAACGGCTGGCGGGCATCCAGTGCCTCAGCACAGGGACGGAGGTCGGGAGGACCCGCAGCCAGACCGACACTGGGGATCAGATCAGTCCCAGAAGGTGACCGAGATTGGAGACTTAACTGACTGCGGGTATAGGGCTTACAGACCACAGAAGCCAAGTCTGGGCAGTTACAGTCTGCAGATCTGGTCCTCTCTCTTGGAAAGAGCGCAACGGGGAGCAGAGATGCCGTGGCTCCGCGGGGCGGTGGGCGATCTGCTTCGCGTCGGCGACCTTGGACCATAGCGCTGTATGGGGATCCGTCCAGGAGATGGCTCCAGCACTAGCATGCCTGCTCATGCAGTCTGTTGGTACCACGCTCGTCTACGAAGGTACATTAGCTTTCTGGCGATCCGAAACAATGCGACCAAGCGGTGCACGCGGCACTGTGACGGCCACCTCGGGCTGAAGAAAGCGGCGTGAAGGGATGGACACGGATGATTGATCGGCCGGTCGTGTCCCTGTGGGTGTTGCTGAGAGGGGCGGGCGGATTAGGTGCTTAGATGTGATGGGTAGCGGCAGATCGTGGGTCAACCAACACGCGGGTGGATGACAAGCCACACGCACGCACAGCGAAGCGTGGGGTGGCTCAGCGGTAGGCGAAGCAGAGCTTGGAAGGATTTTGGCCCCCAAAAGGCGGCATCGTCGATGGGGGCGCGGAGGTAGGAGTCGTGCGGAAGCGGCGTTAACGGCAGGTCCGGGGGAGAGAGAGGAACGGTCGGGACGGAGAGGACGCTCGACCGGGGAGGCTGAGTGTTTCAACAGCTAGACGACGTCAGTGTTTCAACGCGCGGGTCTAGATCGATCAGCTCACCGACTTAAGCTGAGGACTTTGGCGGCGGTGGTGCATAGGGCTGGCGGATCGCTGGGACTGGGTCAGACGCTTAGATGGCTTTAGGTGTCTCCAGGCAGCAGCAACAATTCGTCCGTCCGGCTCGGAGCGTGGCTAGACCGGAAACGGCAAACGCTCGCTGCCCCGCCTGCAAGCGGTGTACCGACCCCTCGAGCCCTACGAGACGACCCTGTGTCGAGTCACACGCATGGCCTTGACGTCCGCCGCGCCCGCAACTGGCATGTGCTCGCGGGAAGCCGATGGTGTCGGCCGATCGCATCATGGCGCCGGAGCGGGCTGAACTGCTCCTCACGACGATCACTCGACCGGCCAAAGCCACTGACCCCGAGAGTCGCACCCTTCAGACCGCCCACCAAGTGGGCAGTGTAGGCAGCGGACGGGGGCCGGCGGGCCTGCAGCGCGGCCGTGTCAGCCATCCCCTCGATTCCGTCTACCTGGACGCCCTGCAGCCTTGTAGCTTTGGGCCTAGCGCTGCCAAATATACAGCAGCCTCGCGACTGGATCCGCAGGATTGCTAAGCGCTAGCTCGGCAGGGTTGCATTCGACCCTCCGCCCATATCTGGTCGACTGCAGGTCTGCGCCCAACGGCCAAGCCAGCGTGCGCAAGTCGACCCTGGCCCCATGCCCATGGCCCGTGAAGGACCGTTGCAGGGGTTGCCAGTGCCCTATGCAGCTGTGAGGATTGCTGCCGTAGACATCTGGGAGCAGCCTCGAAGCTGATAAATATCAAGCCCGACCTCCCCCCGGGCAAAGATCGCCCCGACATCAAACCTCACCACCACCACCACTCTCCCATATAATACCTCTTCAATACCTCTTCACTCAGCCTGGGCCACTCCAACTCCTCCAACTCCACCACCACCACCACCACCACCACCATCACCACCATGCATCGCCAGGCCGCTACCTACCCTTACGCACAGTCCGCCGTCTCGACGCACAGGTACTCGGGCACTAGCAGTGCCTTCAGTCCTAGTGCCAACCCGAATGAGGACTGGACCAAGATCTCCGACCTTGCCGAGCGCAGGCGGATACAGAACCGGATTGCCCAGCGCAACTACCGTACGCAAAGCAACCCGCGAGCTTCGTGAGCCCCGGTACTGACATCCTTCCAGGCAAGAAGCTCAAGAAGAGGCTCGAAGACCTTGAGCGGAGAGCCGCGTCGAACTCAGCCTCGCCGGAACAGCGCCCAGCCGAGCTCGACCGCTCACATGCTCAGCCTCGCGAGGAGGCCTCTAGCGATGCGGTAGAACCGGCCGACTACAGCCGCCGGACTCCGGAGGTGCCGCAGAGCCAATACGCACATGGCCACGACGATCGCAGTTTGTTCTCGCACCAGTACACGCGGCAGCTTTCCACGTCGCCGCCACCCTTCGCGTACTCGACCTACCCAGCTCCGGACATGACGTACTCGTCATACTCGCAGTCACCTTACCATGCGATCCCGATCACCACGGCGGAGCCGCAAGTCTTCACTCCTTACCTGCCACCCATCTCGTCGGCCTACCCTGGCACGTTACCAAGCATTGGCCAAGCGACCAAGCAGGAGTTCTACAGCGACGAAGAGATCAGTCCGTTTAGCATGAACTATGCTTCCATGGCAGGAATTGACATTCCCGTGTCGCATTCCTACCAGGGCTCAGGTGCTCATGTAATACACCCTCTCCGTCAGTACAACCGACCGTAGAAAGCACCCGACTGACATGGAAACCTCTCCAAAGACCCCACCTCTTTCTGAATCTTTCGGTTCTTCGTCAGGCTCGCCGCCCGATTCATCCAACCTCTACACACCGGCGACCCCGGCATCACTGCCTGGGACGCCGCCAAATCTTCACTGCTTTTGATCTCTTGTCGCACGTTTCCTTTACACGTGGCCGGCTTTCTGAGAGACATGCTGTTGTCTTCCTGTATATTACCTTTTGGAGTCGCATTTTCAAGATACCACCATTCGCTAAGCGTAGGAGTTTCAAAGGACAGTCGCTTCTGATATTTTGCCGGGATTGGCACTAGCAGGCGGATCCGCCGATCCAGGATTCTGTCAGATGATATGCATGGGCGTAGGCGTTTGGGTTTGTCCATTTCTAGCGGACTTTGAATTCCAACTCGGGCAGGGCGCTCGATGGACGGCGCGATCGGTTGAAATTTGAAAGAGAAAATCTACCAACGTTATTATGATCATCCAGATATATCCTCAGAGTGTTTGCTGTAGACTGTGAAACGTTTCGAGATAGAGTGTTGACCGGAGATGTGAGCGAGATCAGATTCAGATCCTGCATGAAATCGCTTTGATGATGTAAGCAAGTCACGTGCTGCGCGCGTTTCGCCGTCACATCGGCGAACACGACCCAAAGTCCGATGCCAGCCAGAACTGCAAACCCACACCATGCCAGGCCGCAAGAAGACGACGACTGAAAGAGCACGTCAATGGCTCAAAGGCGGCGGCGTTTTGCGCGAAGACTCTGACGACGAACTCGGTCTTGATGATCATCCTTGGGAGTGGATTTATGAAGAACGCGATGTGTCGTCCACCAAGTCGCGAAAGAGAAAGAGCAGTCAGGTGCAAGAGCCTCAAAGGGAAATAGTCGGTGCTCGTATGGGCAGTTTTCAGTGTAAGGTCGGAGACACTGTGCTGTTGAAAGCCGAAGGCAACGAAGCATGGGTCGGCATCGTTTGTGACCTCTTCGATGGCGATGTGGATGCAGGCGAAGATGAGAAACAGGCCAAATTCATGTGGTTCTCTACACCCAGTGAAATCCGTAACAAGACGAAAAGACGGACTGATTATCTGGAAGTGAGTACTACCGACGGCTCGGTGAATATACGCAATGCTGATATTGGCTAGAACGAGCTCTATATCACCGCAAATTTCGATGATAACCCCTTGACTACCATCAACGGTACAGCAATAGTGATGTCCAAGGATTCCTTTCTTCAAAAATGGCCCACTGGAAAGATCCCGCGTACATCAAAGGATTATGGTAAAGTTTTCATCTGTCAACGTGGATGTAACACGCGGACAGCAACGTACACCGAGCCATTCGTATGGGAGGACGTCTACAGTGAAGAAGGAAACATTGGTGATTTACTCGAGTTGGTGAAGAACCAAACCAAAGAAACGCGAAAGCGTCAAGTACCAAAGGGGCCGAGTAAGGCAGATTTGGATGAGTTCGTCGCGCCGGATGACGAAGACGACGTTCCGCATACACCCAGAAAGCGCCGAAAGTTGAACGATGCAACCACTCCTACGTCAAAACGAAAGGATTTTACGCCACGCAAGTTTATGACACCCACGCATAAGCGCATTGTTGTCAAAAAGCCGCTTGAGTTTACTCCTCTCGGGACCCGGGTCCTTTCCCCAAATGTGCTTGCCTCGCCTTACCAAGTTGCGCGAAACCAGCTTCACGTATCTTCCGTGCCCGCTTCCTTGCCTTGTCGAGAAGATGAGTTTTCAACTGTCTATTCGCATCTTGAAGCGGCCATTACCGATGGCTCAGGGTCATGCATTTACATATCCGGCACGCCAGGGACCGGAAAAACAGCCACTGTCCGTGAAGTAGTTGCTCAACTCAACGCTTCGGTGATGGCAGAAGAGCTCGACGACTTCATATTTGTCGAAATCAACGGCATGAAGGTCACTGACCCTCACCAATCGTACTCGTTGCTCTGGGAAGCCTTACGCGGCGACAGAGTCAGTCCTTCTCATGCTCTCGAATTATTGGAAAGAGAATTTTCCAGCCCCAGTCCTAGGCGAGTGCCATGCGTGGTGCTGATGGACGAATTGGATCAGCTCGTGACCAAGAACCAAAGCGTCATGTACAACTTTTTCAACTGGCCAGGCTTGCGACATAGCAGGCTGATTGTCCTCGCCGTCGCTAACACAATGGATCTTCCTGAACGCACTCTCAGCAACAAGATCAGTAGTCGTCTAGGCCTTACGCGTATCACCTTCCCGGGTTACACGCATGACCAACTCATGTCAATTATACAGTCGCGACTCAGCAACGTCCCCGGCAATATCGTCCACCCCGACGCCATCCAATTCGCCGCCCGCAAAGTTGCCGCCGTCTCTGGCGACGCTCGCCGCGCCCTCGACATCTGCCGGCGCGCCGTCGAGCTCGCCGAAGCCACAGCCCTGGAGTCCACAGCAGCAGCAGCCGACACAGCACCCAACACGCCCAGTAAAACGCCGGGACGCGCTGCTGCGGCTTCTGCTGCTGCCACGGCAAAAACAACACCCACGGTCACTATCGCCACAATCAAACAAGCCATCACCGAAGCAACCAGCAGTCCACTGCAGCAAGCCCTGCGCGCCCTCCCACTCGCATCCAAGCTCTTCCTCGCCGCGCTGCTAGCCCGCGTGCGCCGCACCGGCATCCAAGAAGCCGTGCTAGGCGACGTGCTAGAGGAGGCGCGCAACCTCGCGGCCATGAGCCCGAACGAGCCCATCCAGACGATCCTGCTCGGCGAGGGCGAGTGGAACCACAGTAACATCGACACGGCAAAGCCCGATGCCCCGCGGCGGGGCCGGCCGGCTGGGACGAAAGCCGCCATCGAGCGCCGTGCGCCGCGCGTGCTGGGGATGGGGGGCGCGGCGGTGGAGTTGATGGAGGCGGGGGTGGTGGGCGTGGAGACGAGGAGGGGGGAGCGCGTGGGGAGGGTGAGGCTGGGGGTTAGTGATGAGGAGGTTAGGCTGGCGCTGAGGGACGATGAGGAGGTGAGGGGGCTGGGGTTTGCTTAGTTACGTGCTTTGCGTGATTTGATAGGGTGGTGGCTGGATTTGTACTGCATGTCATTGTCTTTGAAAGATGTATGAGAGGAAGTGTGCCTAAGTGTCCGAATTGAGGAAGCTCTCTTATAATAAAGTCGTTCTCGAATTTAGAGATTCTGCTTTAAGACATGGTTCCTACTTTTTAAATCTGCGTGTTAGAACCATAGAGGCGCTGTAAGGCAGATATCCAAGACAAGGAGATGTCCGAGCAAGAACGAAATACCAGACCTTCTTGCCTAGATTCATTATAGTCTCTTGCAGAATTCACAACTAGTTTTGAAATATCAGCACTGTGCTCCTTTAATCGAGCTTTTAATTAAAAGCCGCGTTGCAAAGTAACTTCATGCCGAAACAACACTTAAGTACCGTCACTGCAGCAAAACTTTTGCTCACAAAACTGCTACTACCTGAGATCAAAAGAGAAAAGCAGAGATGTTTGTGTGATATTAGCTTTTTTCAATCTAGGGTATCTATGGGACAAGCTGCAACACGCCACGTCAAACCAGACTCCAGAACCAAGCCGCACACCACGCACGTATCCTCCGACTAACCCCTACACAATAACCGACCACTCTTGCCACTCATTCTACATCACGACCCTCCACCAACAACAGCACCGCCGATAGCTATTCCCTCTCCTCTACCTCGCCGTCTTCTTCACCGCCCTCATGGCCGGCACCGTCCCCTCCTTCCCAAATGACCTCCCCGTCTCCACAACAATCATGCGCACAAAGTCGCGCGACAGCCAGTAGCTACTATGGGCGCCCAGCATGGTCAAGTACTGGATATCGAGCGGCCCGCCGCCGTACTTGAGGAAGTAGTCGATCTGGCCGTTGTCGTTGAGCGCGTAGGCGCGCTCCTCGGCAATCTCCTCGCGCGTGAAGTTGTGCGTCTCCAGCTCCACGTTCGACGGCAGCCGTGTCACGCGCCCGGGCTTGACATTGTTACCATCGCCGCCGCTGCTGTTCGTGCTGCGGAATGGGTTTGCTAACGTGAGCCATGATGTGCTGGCGCTGGGCACGAAGGCTGGTTTGAGTGCTGCAGCGTAGGCCGTGTCGACTGTGGCGTTCATGCGGTACGCGACTGGGTCGTATGGGTTGATGATGTTGTAGATGTTTTCTACGGCTAGACAACCGTATGTGCCTTCATCACCCGCGACACCTGGTCCATTATTGCTCTCGGCGTCGGGCTTGCGTCGATCGTGACGTGGTAGGAGTGCTGCCTTTTTAAGCAGGAGGAAGAAGCCTGCGGGGCTACCACAAAGAAACAGATTCCTCGTGTCGAACAGGAAATGATTTGTCGGTAGCTTATCCTCTGGTGTTGCTGGATCACCCCACTCCGGAGCTGCCGCCGACGGTTGGCGACTGAGAATGTCAACTGCCATGACACTTCCCAGGGAGTGCGCGATGATATGTACTCTTCCCCAATCCGCAAAGCCTGGATTGTTCTTACACCAAAGACGATATATGCGGTTAGCTTCCTGAATGCAAGCTGTTATCATCTTTGGGTTATGTTCGGCTGAGAGGTAATACGGAATGTCCAACATGACATCACTGATGATGTTTCGCACAGACGGGAGGGTTTCCGGTGTGATATCTTTAAGACTGTACTGGTTTGACGCAGGGTTTTCTGTTTCATCCCGGTAGCCGCCTTCTTCGAATGAAAGGCTCAAGCGCCAATTGACCTATTGTTTTGTCAGTTCAATTCTTATAGAAGGCGGACCATGTGAAGCAGCTTCTAGGTTCCTGGTAATTCAGGTTGCCGATGTCCAAAACTTACAGGTAACACCATAATTCCTCCACCGTCTTTACGAAGATGTGTCTTAACACTGTCGGTACCCAGCTCCACGTTTACCTCTCTCCGGAACGCATTGATTGCATGAGTGAAGTGGAAGCTCTCCATACGCTCAGAAAGCTTCTGTCCGATACCGTGAATAACGAGTACCAAGTCAGTCACCTCTGGCCTTTCTGAATGCGAGAGCGCCGTGTCAAACTTCATCCGGCCATACGGAGGCGCTCCTGCCTGTGAGGTCGAAACTCCTTCTTGGGCTTTCTCCATTGTAGGGCCCACCTTTTGAGGATATAACTTATCCCAAATTGCTTGGTCGAAGCCGCGGACCACTTGAACACCGATTTTCCGGCCTTTGCGGATGTAGTTGGCAAGGGGCCGCCGGCCATAGTACGCAGATGGTTGTAGGTTTGGTCGGAGGATGTAAGCTTCTTTTTCATCTGCGTAAATCACCACAGCATTGGGGTAAATCCGCTTTCGGCCATCCCTGCCAAAATTTGTAGTTCCGGCAGCCTTGTTGTCTGGCCCTTCAGTCCCATTGGATATATCTATCATGTCTTTCGCATGTTCGACTGCTTCTTCACGTTCTTGCTCAGGCGTTAGTCCGGGTTCATCCAGGGAACTGTGAGATAGTTAGACAAATTCTCTGTGTTTAGGCGAAGAAGTCGACATCCACACGACGCGCCTATCGGTTTGATAGTAAAAACAAAAGAGAAAAAAATTTGAAGGAAAAGGAAGGCAGATGTGCTATGTGACACACATCACCTGGCAAGGTAAAACCAAAACATACATACCTCTGGAGTATACCGAAATCAGAACCGCGTGTTCCAGGCCTGCTTCTGTCGGGCTGCTTTGGGGGGCGTGGTCTCTCAGGCCATAATTCGTGAACAATCTTCATCTCTCCTAGGGCGCCAACCTCAATGGCGCTATTAAGCTCATCTCTCCACGTATCTGTCCAAGGCTGGAGCGAAACATAACCAGACTCGAGCAGATTTGCTACGTCTGGCTCCACTGGTAGCATGTTTTCTTTATAAAACCACGTTCCCCGTATCACAGGTGCTATATCATTGAGGGGGGACCAGTATATGGGCTCCATACTGTACGAAATTAGTTAGAGTCCGGAAAGATGTCACACAGAACTCACGTCAACCCAGGCATCACGACCTCATGAAGTCGAGAAATCCCGACAGGAGCTCTGGCAGAAGGGCCAACGGGTGCACTCTTTTTCTTAGGCGGTGGTGGGGCTGGCTCCTTCGAAGACTGGCTAGGTGCTGATGTTATCTCGTCACTCCAGTCATACGTATCTTCGCGTAAGAGACCACTCGGCCGAATTTTTCTCCTAGAAGGGGCGCGGACAAAGGGAGTGCCCGTGGTTGCGCTACGGTCTATACTGATCTCAATATCGGCAGGGTCGATGGCCCGTAGAGAGCCCACTAAGAGACCAGACTCATCATTGTTTTGTTTCTTGCCTCTTATGGATCGCATATCTCCCTCGGACGACGAGTATGCCCTGGAAGGTTGTCCCCTGACAGGCCGCGCATCCGGCCTGTTAGGTATCGTATATCCTCTGTTCCTATTTTGAGGAACGTCGAGAACCTTGCGCGTCGCCACAGAGTTGGCTCTTGAGCGCCAGCCCTTTCCCTTCTCGCCGCCATTTTCCTCATTATATTTCCACAGTTTCCGCCGGAGGTCATGCCATGCGTGGTCTAGTTGGCGATTGTCATAAACCGAGAATGGGCGCGGTGGCTGTCTTGACGGGGCAGCGGAGCCGGTCAACTGCGGAGGCAAGGGGCTCAGCGGGTCGTCGATGGCCAACGGGCTGGTATAGAAGAAGCGTGCAGCTATGGGAGGCGGAGGTTCTGGAGCGTGGAGGATTTCGCGGACATATTCGTTGGTTTGGCGAGCTGTCTGCGGCTCGTTGGCGTGAGAGCGAGACATGGTGGAGGGCCTAAAGGTTAGCCAGAAGGAGGGACGCTTTTATGGGAGCATGAGCCAAAGAAAATCAGGGGGGATTCTGCACAAAAGACATTGCTGGGACGGCAGCCTATCCAGGCGACCGGATTGTGTCTTGGTGGAGTTGACGATCGAGGGTCCGCATGAGCTGTGAGGTCATCTCCCATTGGCAGAGAGAGCTCGCCAGTGTCACCTTCAACAACGTGCACCTCCCCGCTCCCCCGACGGCCAGACCCAACGCGACAACGCGTGGCTAGCTGGCACCTCCTCTCCCTCCCTGTGCAGCACTGCGCTCATCGTCGCAGTCTTCTGCCCTTGTCTAGAACCTCACTTCCTCCATGCACGTCATCAGGCCTGCCTGCCCTCAGCCACCACCTAGTTTTCCTCTCTCAAAAAGCCATGTTCCTGGGCGCCATGACGTCTCGCCGCACTCGCGCGCACCAGCCTGCGCTGGCGACTCTTTCACCCCACTCAGTCCCTGGACAGCTCTCACTCGCACCACCTAGCATGAGAATACCTCAACAGGGAGATTCAAGGTCAAACCTGTCACGTATCCGAAATATCTCATGACAGCATCCCAGTACAGACTCGAGATACCTGAAGATTGACATTTCGCTAACCTAGCTCTATGATTGATCGGGGTTATGCGCGAGCAAAGCCTTGCTAATCTCACTCTCACGCCTCCCGTTAATCATAAACTCACTTTGCAAACCTCCTTACATCAGCAAATGGCAAGGTGGCCGAGTTGGTTATGGCGCCAGGTTAAGGTCATCTTAACACTAATTCCTGGTGGGGCAACCCGCGCGAGTTCGAGTCTCGTCCTTGTCAGCATATTTTTTTGCTCCCGCAGCGACCGTAGCGCGGTGAAAAGATCTTTCTTTTTGGTGTTGTTGAGGTCCGTGTGGAACGGCGGCAATAGTACGGCCGCAGATGCCGTTGGGGATGCTAACCGAGAACAACATGACAGGCCTTTCCAGAGCTACAATCCCCTGGCTCAGTGAGCTTTGAGCAGGGTGGCAGGCTGGCGCCAAAAGATAGATGGGCCCAGATCAACCCATTCAAACTTGGGAGCACTGAAACTCCGAGATTCTACTTTTCTTTCTTTCTTTCTCTCTTACAACAGTATCCTCATCGGAGTGGAGCGTGGCACAAATCGACCATCGAATTCTTGAACACCCGATGTGTAACGGCACGAACCGTTACGTTGGTATATGGGAGCAATCATTTCCTGGCGGCAAGAATATCGTTGCGCCGATATGGGATTTCATTCCAGCCCGGCCTGAACGAGCTCCTGCTCGGTCGAAGAGTGGCATTTGCTGCAGTTTAAGATTGCAAGTTGAAGGTTGATCCAACCAGGTCGGTTCAGGCCCTGCATAGCCGCGGAGGGTATACCTGGGTTGTTTGAACTCCTGGAAATATACCTCTTCGTAAGTTGTTTGTAAGGTCAGGGTTGATGGGCTCGCGGAGCTTCTTAGCCATTCCGTCAATCGGCGAGGACCGTCGTGAGAAGGAGTCTGATATGTTCCAATCGGCATTGCGGCAAGCACGGAGCTGGGAATAGATCTATTTGGCTGACTGTCCTCGCTATTTCCGGCCAACGTTTTCTTTTCCCTCTGACAAGCTATTGGACCCGGCAATTGCGGGAATCATCTGCGCGGCTTGCAGAGTGCTGTCAGACCTTTCGCATGTGGGACCATTTGAAGAAGCTGGGAGGCAAGCAATTTCCGAGGTTAAAACTTTTCGACGACGACAGCATAAATTTGCTGAAATATGCCGCGCGAACCCTTGGTTCTTGAATTGTTCTCGATGGAGAAATCGAGGCAGATCCCTCGGCATGCCTCCCAGTCGGGTCGGGAACTAAACAACCAACCTTTTCGCCGAGGCAGGCCTAGCTTTGCGCGCATGTGGTCCGGCCAAGGTTGACGTACAATCAGATCTCGATTTACAGCTGCAGGTTCCCGAATAATGAGTCAGTGACACATCCGTGGCGTGCACAGCCAGCTATCCAGCGCCCATCCAGACGCAAAACAGCGCTGACACGCATAGGAACAACGACATCTAGCCTCTCAAGATCGCACACACTCACGACTGATCTGGCGACTCTGGTCTGATGCAGGTACAGAGCAACAGGGGGGATCCCTGATGCGATACGAACGGAGCAGCGCTCCGCGTCTTCACACGCATATCGAGCGGGCGCCTCGTGCATATTCGTCTGCAGATCGTTGCGTGGATACGCATGACAGCTCAGCCGTGCCTCTCCTAGCGCTCGGGCAAGCAGTCGGTCGCCGCGCCAATTGCAGCGTCGCTGCTCCCTTTGGGTATGGCTGCCGTTGCGACGCGCAGATGAGCTTGGTCTTTTGGCCGCGTCTGGTCGCGATGCTGGTCGTATATATGGCCCTTTGGGTAGGTAACACTGCGTGGGCTCAAAATAGCCGCTTCTCAATCAAGAAGGATGCACTCACTCATGACACAAATGTACTCAGATATCGGAAAGGCCAGGCATTTCTTTTGAATGCTTTTGGGGCTAAGAGAGAGAGGCGTGAGAGGCGTGAGAGGCGTGAGAGGGTGGAAGAAGAGTCCACTCGAGTAGAGAGGGACAGCTCACTTGAGACACGGCGCGCGCGGCGATGCTACTCCACGCGCCACTGGGTGGGAAGCGGCGACAGCCCTTTGCGGCAGCGGCGCCCGGCGCGCAGGCCAATCAGGGCGGGCAGCGTCGATCCGGGGTAGCACTAGCGGGCGGCTTGCCTCCCGAACCTTCTTCTTCACCCCACAAACACCCTCGCCTCGTATCGCCCGCGACGTAAGACCATGATCAATAACGCTGCATGCTACCCCCGCCTTGCCAAGTGTCATCTCTCTCCTACCACTCGCGATCGACATCTTGCCTCCCTCGAGCCGGAGGGCGGGGAAAGACATGGCTAAGCCCGTCTGGGTACTGCGCCGCGCGAGCTGCGGCTGCTATTCGCTGTACATGTGACGCTCGCGGCGGCCCTGCCTTGTTGAAGGAACTACAAAGAGCCACAATGGCGGGACTGACATGACCTAGTGGCCCCTCGTCAAAGAAGATATAAGGAGGCACCACCGCCGCTGCTGCCACATCCGTAGCTGCACACAAATTACAAACTCAGCCCCAGCACTCCAAAAATTTGTCTACAGTCGTTTCTTGTGACTACCCTCACCGTCAACATGAAGACCGCTTTCATCGCCGCTGCCATCACCACCCTGGCCTCCGTCGCCAGCGCCCAGGGCGGCTTTAACATAGACGACCTGCCCCAGTGCTCGGTAAGCCTGTTCCCGTTTTCCATTCATTAGGCACGTAGGAGTTAATCGATCATTAAAGCTCCAATGCTTCCTCACCACGCTTAGCGGTGACGGCTGCTCCGGCCTCCTCGACTACGAGTGCCACTGCAAGAAGTCCGGTCTCACCGAGACCATCACGCCCTGCGTCCAGAAGGCCTGTGAGGCCAAGGACCAGGCCAGTAAGTTTCACCTACCTGCTCTCACATGAGGGCCTTGCTGCTGACACTTCCCAGCCGTTGCCTCCGCTGTCGTCGCTCTCTGCAGCCAGTACGGCGTGAGCATCTCCGTGCCCGACATCCAGTCGACGGCAGCGCCTGCCTCCTCCGCAGCTACCTCCGCTGCTGCCTCCGTGACTGAGGAAGCATCGTCGGCAGCCTCGTCTGCGGCGTCTTCCGTCGCCTCCTCCGTCGCTTCCTCTGTTGGCTCCGTCGTCTCCTCCGTAGCGTCCTCTGCCTCTGAGGCTGCCTCCTCCGGCGCCGCCCCTAGCACCGCCTCCACGGCCTCTGCTACCGACGTCGTCGTCTCTGGCACTCCTTCCTCGTCCGCTGATGCTTCCACCCCCACCACTCCTTCCACGCCCAGCCCTGCTACGCCCACCGCTTCGTCATTCGAGGGTGCTGCGGCCAGGGGCGGCGCCGTCGCGGGCGTGCTGGGCCTCGGTGTCGCCGTTGCGGCTTTCGCTGGACTCTAGATGCCTGGCTACGGGTAGTGGACGATCTCACTGATGTACAGAAGTAATACGCCTGAGTCGAGGCATGGGAGGGCCGCCTCTCCGATGGAATGCGAGCAGTCGTACGCAGCGAGGACGGTGTAATTATAATTCTTAAAAAAAAAATTAAAGTACTAATAGGCCGAAAGGCTGCCTTTACTTTAATCTTGCGACTCTTTTTGTTGCTCGAACTGAAAAATGCGTGCTATGTATGCAGTTGCATTCTTGCCTGTCAGGATCGCAGCACCTCGATAGTTACCTCGATGTTGGGTAGTAACTAGTTAGCTGCTGGTATAAGCAAGGATGGTTCCAAGAACGCATGTCTCCTCGCATACGGGCCGGCGCCGGTAGCGGTATAGCTGCTGTTTCACAACAACGTCATTGAGGGGTAGGACGACAGGCATGTTTCCCGACCCGGCCCCGTCCTGAAGCAGAGGACGGTGATGTCAACCGAGTTCCTCTCTCTCGCACCCGAGTGTAACGGCTTTGTTTTGCTGCCAAGGCCCAAGGCTAGGTAACTACCTACCTACCTACCCGTCGCAGACGAAGAAGCGGCCTAAATATGACGGGTCAGCCCAAGCTGTGGATGGAGTACCTCGACCTCTGCCCAGCTACGCAGTGCCTCGACACCAAGCACATACGGTTGCACGAAGCAAACCTCGACCACTGAGCTGATAAGCGGACAAGCTTGGGCAAGAGCGGCCGCAAGGTAAGGTATCGAGACTCGTTTTGCGCTGCATGGGCTACGTCGGCTGGCCGCGGGTCTTGGACGAGGAGCAGGCGCTTGGGCTCATTGGGTGCATCTTGAGGATGTGGAGAAGAGGTGTTGATGGTGGTGGTGGTGCTGTCGATTTTAGGGAATTTCTTGCTTGAGTGTTACTTACTGAATCAGTATCATAGGATACGATGGATTGCTACTCCAATGGTCAGTCGGAGGCCGTTCTGGGGAGGGCGTTGAAGCGGTTCGACATCCCGCGGAGCTGGGTCGTAGTCATGACGAAGATTTATCTCCTGCTGCTT